AGATGCATGTTCAAAGCTGCAGCTCGCGTTCCCATTCCCTGTCCAGACCTTCTGTCAGTGGTCTCTCCCATGTCGGCTGCAGGGAATTTATTAATCCTTGGGTTTCTCACTCATAATTCCACGGCATTGTCCGTACTTTCAGAACACAGCCCGAATCTGACCGCTTTCAGCTTCTCGTGCCTGCGTTATTCCAGTAGCCATCCTTGCCTGCTTGTAGACGCCAGTTGGATTCTTTCAAAATATAAAACATACTTTTTTTCCCGCATAAAACGTTCCAGTCATTTCCTTCTCACTAGGAGGACAAGCTGCAATTCTTGAAGCAGCCCCTGTAGCTTCGGGTTACTCATCTTTGTTGGACCTCCTCTGCTGGTCTCCCCTTTGCCTAGCCACTGCAGCAGCATCAGCCTCCAAGTGCCTAAGCCAGGCCAGGCCCAGGCCTGCCTCAGGGCCTTTGCACTTGCTGTTCCTGGCCTGAAATTCTTCCCTAGATAATCATGTGGCTTGCTCCCTTAGTTCCCTCTGGTTTCTACTCAGACATTATCAACGAAACCTCCCCTGAACACTGAAATATAAAGTTGAAACACCCCATTGTCTTCCTACACACTCTACATTCTCCTCCTCCCGCCTCCCAGCCTGGTATCTCAGAGGAGAAAGTTAGGGAGTGTACATCTTTTGGCAAACAGTTCCACTCCTCATGATAAACTCATGGTCAGAAACAGTCTCAGGGACATTGCTTGAACGATCCTCTTTATACTTTTTTTTTTTTTTTTTTTAGATTTTATTTATTTATTTGACAGAGAGAGAGACAGCAAGAGAGGGAACACAAGCAGGGGGAGTGGAGGAGGGAGAAGCAGGCTTCCCGCCACCGAGCAGGGAGCCCGATGTGGGGCTCGATCCCAGGATCCCGGGATCATGAACCGAGCTGAAGGCAGACGCTTAACGACTGAGCCACCCAGGCACCCCAGCCTCTTTATACTTTTATTCAGTGATGCACTACGTAAGCAGCATTACCCACGATAGATACCTCATGGCAGGGTCTTAAATCTGCACTCACCTGCACAGCGGCCTTTGCCAGGAAGGCACCCTCGGTCACTGTCAGGTATGCCAACCCCGATAACGTGGATCTGGATCACTGTTTTCTCTTTAGAAGAGTAAACTCTGAGTTGAAAACTGAGCAACTTGACTTATCTTAAAATGCATTATGCAGTATTAATATACACCCAAAAGAAGCGTAAACATAATGGAGTGAATTAGGACATTCTGGAAATTTGACATACCTGGTACTCAGCAGTTCTCTACACAGAGGTGTATCTGTTAGCAATCAGCAAACGTCTGTAAAGGGCTGGTAGTGAATGTTTTAGACTTTGTGGCCCATAGGGTCTCTCTTGCAGTGACCCAGATTTGCCACTATAGTGGAAAAGCAGCTGTAGACCATACAGAAACAAAAGAGCACGTCTGTATTCCAGTAAAACATTACTTATGGACACTGAACTTTGAATTTCAAACAGTTTACTTTTGTCACAAAGTAGTATTTTTTGTTTGTTTTTAAAGATTTTTATTTATTTAACAGAGAGAGAGCACAGGTAGGCAGAGTGGCAGACAGAGGGAGAGGGAGAAGCAGACTTCCCGCCGAGCAGGGAGCCTGATGCGCGGGGCTCGATCCCAGGACCCTGGGATCATGACCGGAGCCGAAGGCTGACGCTTAACCAACTGAACCACCCAGGCGCCCCACAAAGTCATATTTTAAAAAGTAAAAACCACTCTTAGCTTCCAGGCTATTCGAGTACACACAGAGGTTGGATTTCGTGTGCAGGCCATAGTTTGTCTGCCCGGATTCTGAGCAGCTCTGTCCAGTAGAACTTGCTGTGGTGACAGAATGTTCTCTGTCTGCATCCCACACTCGGTAGTTACTCCTCATGTGTGACAGAATGTTCTGTGTCTGCATCCCATACTCAGTAGTTACTCCTCATGTGTGGCTACTGAGCACCTGTGGTGTGACAGCCAGGGCGCTTGAGGAACTGATTTTTAATATTATTCCATTTTTTTAAAAGATTTTATTTATTTATTTGAGCAAGCACGAGTTGGGGAGAGAGGCAGAGGGAGAGGGAGAAGCAGACTCCCTGCTGAGCAGTGAGCCCAATGTGGGACTTGATCCCAGGACCCTGAGCCAAAGGCAGATGCTTAACCAACTGAGCCACACAGGTGCCCCAATATTATTCAATTTTAATATGAATTTTGGTTTAATTTTAAACAGCCCATGTGGGCTAGTGGCTCTAGTTTTGGGCAGTACGGGGCCTGCAGTGACTGCAAACGTGCAGCCGAAAGCACGTTTAGAAATGTCTGTCACAGCGTTGTCCTTAGCAGAAAACGGGAATGATGGTGCACTCACACAGTGGAAAATACTTAGAGTAATAGGAAACATTTGTTGAGTGCTTTCTTTAAGCCAGGCCATGTTCTAAGCACTTTAGCTGCTCTAACTCCTTGGATTCTCGCCGAATGTAGTAGTGAAAAGTTAATAAACTGTATTCTGTATCCGCCAACAGCGATGAATGAATCTTAGACGCGCAAGGTTGAGTGAAAAAGCAAGTCACGGGGCATCTGGCTGGCTCAGTTGGTAGAGCATGCAACTCTCGATCACGAGGTTGTGAGTTCAAACCCCATGTTGGGCATGGAGCCTACTTAAAAAAATAAAGTAGGGGTGTCTGGGTGGTTCAGTCAGTTAGGTGTCCGAGGCTTGAGCTTAGCTCAGGTCTTGATCTCAGGGTCGTGAGTTCGAGCCCTGCATTTTAAGTAGGCTCTCCCCCAGCGTGGAGCCTACCTAAAATGAAAAGAAAAAATGAATAAATAAACTTTAAAACAACAACAAAAAAGCAAGTTACAAAAATTGCATACCATGTGATACCATTTTTCAAACCTCAAAACAGGCAAAATGAAACATTATTCAGGGATATACAAATATATGGCAAAACCATTGGAAAGTAAGAGAAAGCGGGTACGTTGCCTTTGGGGGAGAGAAGATGCCCCAGTGAGGCTGACTCTGTCCTGAAGAGGCAGTGGGTGGGGCTCCTGACCTCCTGACCTCTGCGTGGTGGCACTCCTCTGTAGCAGCCCTGGGTTGGGGGGGTGAGGAAGCAGCGCTCCTGTTGACTTTGGAGAACAGTGTTTTCACTAAAAGCCACGGTCATTGTGGTGTCACTGCAGTGAGGATCGAATCTGGTTTCAGTTCACATTCAAGCAGATGTTCCGTTAGATGAGGGGTTTGTGCGCGTTGCCTTGGTTGGGTCCTTTAGATTAGAAAACGTGGTTATTTCTCCAGCTCAAGAACAGAGAAGTAAAACCCTCTGGTCCCCAAATGTTTGTTTTTTGTTTCATCAAATCTTGTACTGGGTTGAATGTTACCAGAATTGAGCCACAAGAACTCAGTTTGAAAATGAAAAATTTGAAAACTGTAAAATAACAAATAGGTTTACTTATTAACTGTTACCGTGAAAGTGGTCATTAAAAATGGTCCAAACGGCACTTGAGGGGTGTTATGAAATTTTATAGTAGATTTCATCTCCAGGTTGGTGTAATTTCAACATTACATAGTGGTTTGTGCTCCTGAAGATCCAGTTCTCTGTAGCGATTCTGGCGAGTGGCTACTGAGCTGATTGTTGAATTATGTCAAGCTTTTCTATGTAATATGTGCATCTTTGACTTTTTTCCTTATTGTTCCGTCTTTATTCTTTCCTGCATTACTGACTTGGGTTTATCTTTTCTCCCTTTAGAGAGTTTTGAGGTGACAGTCACCAAAGAAGGTGATAAAGGGTTCTTTCTATCCTTCTTATGAATATTAACCCACTAACTTTGTTTATAAAATTGGGAATCAGCCCTTAAACAGAAGAAACTGTCATGTTCTTTTACCCTGATTTATTCTCCTACTTTGTTTCTATTTTTAAATGTATTGATGGAAATTGTATGTAACCAAACCCTTGGTTAGAAATATCTGGAAATCAGACATCCATTTGAACTGTATGGATAATACTGTGCATTTTTTTTTCTCAATTGAACTTCAGAGATTCACTTTGTAACCGTTTTCTGTGAGTTGTAATTTTGGAAGAGGGCAGTCTTATTTCTATGTGAAATACATTTTTCTGAAGTTTTATATGTATATCAAAACATTTATGTTTGTTCTCCCACAGGCAAGAATGGAAACCTAGATTTTCACCCCTAATTGAGCTTGTGAGCCAACTTAGATGTACTGATGTCCCCAGGCAGGCTTCTTTTCCAGGTCTGATAGTCTAGTGTTGGCAACAAAGGCAAGTCTAGCCAATCCCTGCCCGTGACAGAACCGATCTTAATAGTGGACTATAGTTGTTGAAATGGATGCCTGAGAAGTTGGTATTTCTACCTTTCTCATTCAGTAGTTTGTTTTGATTCCCTAATTTTAGCCAGGCTCATTGCACAGGAAGACTTGTTTCTTTTGATTTTTCTTTCTTTCTTTTTTTTTTTTTGACAGAATTTCTGTAATTATGGTGTTGAACCTATAATATAACATCACACTTCTTCCCTTCTCGACACTTAACTGCATTTTAGCCCTCTCTCTGGTCCAAATCAAAATCGCTGCCCAGCTGTCCCCAGTAGCTGGGGACAGCTCCCCGTGTTCTCAGGCCACGGCTGTTTGCTAATGACACTGCTTTTACCCTGGAGCTATCTTAAGTACTCCTGTGAAATGCCTGTCTATATTTTCTCTTTTTCTCTTTTGTACTCCTGCATGAATGGATGCAAAGTTAAGCAAGTTGCTTGGAAAGCCAGAACATGCTTCTTTTTACTAAAGCCCCAGAACTTATCCCTGTCAAAGCACAGTGCCCTTGCTTTGTCCACAGACCCTCTAAACCCCTGGCTGCTGAACTGTTGTCGTTTCTTTTCTTTTTGGGGGCGTGGGGCCGGGAAGGGGAGGAAGGGGGTATGTGCAGATGCACGGGGCAGAAATTCTAACCTGCGCCGCTTTGACTCCCTAGGTGAGATCTGTGGATTTAAAATTCACGGGCAGAATGTCCCCTTTGATGCAGTGGTAGTGGATAAGTCCACTGGCGAGGGAATCATTCGCTCAAAAGAGAAACTGGACTGTGAGCTGCAGAAAGACTACACATTCACCATCCAGGCCTATGACTGCGGCAAGGGGCCAGACGGCACCAACATAAAAAAGTCTCATAAGTAAGTAAGCTGGGCAGAGAGCGGGTGCGTGCGGAAGGCAGTAGTGACCATTGTCCCTGTCCCCAAGACTCTTTTTTTTTTTAAAGATTTTATTTTTATTTATTTAATTGAGACAGAGACAGAAAAAGAGAGCATAAGCTGGGGCAGGGGGTAGAGGGAGAGGGGGGAAGCAGACTCCCCATTGAGCAGGGAGCCCGACATGGGGCTCAATCCCAGGACCCCTGAGCCAATGACAGACGCTTAACCAACTGAGCCTCCCAGGTGTCCCCCAAGGCTCTGTGTTTTTTATTTTTTTTTTAAGATTTTATTTATTTATTTGAGAGAGAGAGAGAATGAGAGATAGAAAGCATGGGAGGGAAGAGGGTCAGAGGGAGAGGCAGACTCCCTGCTGAGCAGGGAGCCCGATGTGGGACTCGATCCCGGGATTCCAGGATCATGACCTGAGCTGAAGGCAGTTGTTTAACCAACTGAGCCACCCAGGCGCCCCGGCTCTGTGTTTTTTAAAGGTGAGGCAGAAGATATTTCTGGGTTGTCCCCTATGACACTATAAGCTCTTTGAGGGCAGGAATCCTATCTGTTTACCCCACAGCATTAGATGTTGAATAAATAAATAAATGAGTAATTTTATCCCACCAAATCCTCTGTTAAAGACACTAAGGCCCTACGCTGAAAATTGGAAAAGCCCACTTTTTCCCGAGGGAGATATTTTGTTGTTAGGTTTCTTTTTTCTGTGAATTCTTTTTTTTTTTTTTTAAGATTTTATTTTATTATTTATTTGACAGAGAGGCACACAGAAGCGAGAGAGGGAACTCGCAGGGGGAGTGGGAGAGAGAGAAGCAGACTTCCTGCCAAGCGGGGAGCCTGATACGGGGCTCGATCCCAGGACCCTGGCCGAAGGCAGATGCTTAATGACTGAGCCACCCAGTCGCCCCTTTTTTGTGAATTCTAAGGGTGTAGAATTCCTTCCTGCTGGTGGGAGCAGGCTGAGCGCTGCGCCCCGCTCCTGGCTGTGTCCCTGTCCTTCCTGCCGGCTGAGAACTACTGATGTAACTGACGGGACTCTGGACAAAACGTAGATTTAGATAGAATCCAGTCTTTACTTCCTTTCTTTTTTTTTAACGCTTAATCCAGCAGCATATACCTTTTTTTTTTTTTTTTTAAGATTTTATTTATTTATTTGACAGAGAGAGAGCACAAGCAGGGGGAGCTGCAGGCAGAGGAAGAAGCAGACTCCCGTAGAGCAAGGAGCCCGACGCGGGGCTCTATCCCAGGACCCTGGGATCATGACCGGAGCCGAAGGCAGACGCTTAACCGACTGAGCCACCCAGGCGCCCCAGAATCCATTGTTTTCTCCACCACTTGCTATCCCTTTGACATTAGGCAAATTTCGTTTTGTTGAGTCTCAGTTTTTACTTAGCACCTGGGCTAAAGGGAGAGGGGCACTCGGAATGACAGCACGTGACCCACCGTGCTGGGTCAGGAGGTTGCTCCACGTTGGGCGTGGAGGGTCTTGGTGAACACTCGGGTGCTGAGAGCCAGCGAATCTCTCCTCATCCCTTTCACACGATGTGACATTACTGTTGTCCTTGAAAAAGGCATTATTTGAGTCAGAGATCTTGTCTGAGTCAGAAACACGCCCTGATCAGTAGCCCTTGAGACTGACCGTTTCCTCCCTTTGCTACCGAGTCTGATGGCACCTTTGTTGCCTCTTGCCCGAGCTGGGGAGGTGGAACATGGCAGCAAGGGGTCTGCTAGGAGGAGAACGTTGAGGTCTTGTTGAGGGTTGGATCAGTAATGGGGGATGGGTAACAATGGGTTGCTAGTGGTCTCGGTTCCACAGAAGCGGGACAGAACTTTTTGCCATGCTTGCAGTCAGACTCCCCGTCCATGTTTCCCATCTTGTCTCTCTGTCTTACCCCTTCTTCCTTGGGCTCTAATTTTGTCTTATCTAGTTTACCCCCTTCTGCACGCCCTGTCCCATACTGTCAAGAAAACCCCAAGTCTCTTTTGTTTTATATTACTGCCCCTTTTTTTTCTTTTAAAAAATTATTTTTTATTTTTTTAAGATTTTTTATTTATTTATTTGGCAGAGAGAGAGAGAGACAGACACAGAGAACAAGCACAAGCAGGGGCAGCAGCAGACAGAGAGGGAGAAGCAGGCTCTCTGCTGAGCAGGGAGCCGGATGTGGGGCTCGATCCCAGGACCCTGAGATCATGACCTGAGCTGAAGGCAGACGCTGAACGACTGAGCCACCCAGGCACCCCTTTCTTTTTTTTTTTTTTTTTTTTTTTAAACCAGCCGCCTTACTCTTAGGATCTGGAAGAATCAACTCAAATTCCTATTTTAACTTTCTAAAGTCGTCTCCACGCTAAAGTAAAAACAATAACTTGTTTAATTTTGATCTCCATCATTTGATCTTCATGAAACAAGATAGTAGCAAAAAGAAATCTAAAACTAGGGCAGAATTGGTATGCTCTGGGGAAAAAAACAAACCGAGCACACAGCTTTTTTTTCTTTTTCTTCTTTCAGGGCAACTGTCCATATTCAGGTGAACGATGTGAACGAATACGCACCGGTGTTCAAGGAGAAGTCCTACAAGGCGACTGTCATCGAGGGCAAACAGTATGACAGCATCTTGCGGGTGGAGGCTGTGGACGCAGATTGCTCCCCTCAGTTCAGCCAGATTTGCAGCTATGAAATCGTCACTCCAGATGTGCCATTCGCCATCGACAAAGACGGTAAGTCAGAGGAGCAAGCCTTCCTTACTGGGGCGACGGTCTGTGGGCAGGTCTGCACACGGGCGAAACTCAGATTCGAGACGATCTTCGTCCGTCCCTTCAGGCGGCTGTAACAAAGTACCACAAGACGCTTAACTTCGCATGGTTCTGGAGTCTGGGAGACCAGGATCGAGGTGCTGGCAGATTCAGTGTCTCATGAGGCCTGAGGCCTGGTTCACCAGAGGTCTTCCTGCTGCTTCCTCACGTGGTGGGGAGAGAGAGAGCCCTCTGGGATCCCAGTGTGGGGCCCAACCTCACGACCTCACCTAAACCTAAGTTCCTCCCCAAGGAGGACCTCTTTGTAACATCACATTGGGTGTTAGGACTTAAGCGTAGGGATTTGGGAGAACACAAGCATTCAGTCCATAGCAGAGAGCCCTGATGGTGTGTGTATGTGTGTGTTTCACATTTTTTTTATTCTGTCCCCTGAAAGCCTTGCTCCTGGCACCTGAAGTTGTGTGTTCTTTTATGGGGCGCCCTTCTTTTTCCTCTCCCACCAGGGTCTAAAAAATCCCCCACTTAACATGTTTTTAGTATGTACCTTCTCACCATTCCATCAGTGTGCACCCGAAAAGACTGACCTTTGGTTGGTCTGTTTTCTGTTGTTAGATTTGGATCTTCTGCCTCATCTGGAATGTGAAGGTTTATGCCTTCCTGGCAGATCCTCCCGTCCTTCATCATTGTGCTGAACGAACTCGTGCTAAAACTCTGCTTCTTTATTAGGTTATAGCTTCTTGATGGTGTTACAGTCTGTGTTGCTAATGCACCGTCCAGAATCTTCTAATGAAATCATGGACATTGTAAACTCTGCAAGACATCTGCACTCACATTCGAAAGCAGGCTCCTGTTCTAGTGGGTGGGTGTAGGAAATCTCTCTGTCTCTCTGACACACACACACACACACACAAAGTAAATCTTTTAATAAGAAATAGTGCAGCTTGATCTTGTATTTCGTATTTGAATTACTTGAATTATTTTGTCTTCTTTGTCCTCTTACATGTGAACTACTTAAGCTTAAATACATAAACCCAAAAAAGAAAAACCATAAGAGTAAACGAAGGCTGAATTGTGTAGTCTCGTTCCTTCTGTTGGAACAGTCCTTAAAGGTGTGCTTAGTGTGTGTTCCAGCTCCGGACAGCCAGACCGAGTGTTAATTATCTCCAGCCGAGGTTTTATGTCGCCGTCAGTGTTTATGACGCTTGAAGCTCGTGCACTTTGTCTCAGTTCGGCTCTGCGTTCTCACTGTTGTTCTGCCCCTCTGGAAGGTTATATAAAAAACACAGAGAAGCTGAACTACGGGAAGGAGCACCAGTACAAGCTGACGGTCACCGCCTATGACTGTGGGAAGCGGAGAGCAGCAGCAGATGTCGTGGTGAAGGTCAGCATCAAGCCCACCTGCACCCCGGGGTGGCAAGGTGAGCTTCGTTGTCCTTTCTGCGCTCGCAGCTGTTCTTAAACACCATCTACCAGAGAAAACTAAAGTGTGAGCTTTCCTCCTTTCTCCCCACCCGGGTTTGTGGACTGACCCAGGATGGAACAATAGGATCGAGTATGAGCCTGGCACGGGCACCTTGGCCCTCTTCCCCAGTGTCCACCTGGAGACATGTGATGAATCCGTGGCCTCGGTGCAGGCGACGGTGGAGCTAGAGACCGGCCACATCGGGAAAGGCTGTGACCGGGACACCTATTCTGAGAAGTCCCTTCACCAACTGTGTGGTAAGGGGGCCTGGTGGTCTTCAGGGAAGGCGAGAGACCCCCTCTCAAATGGAAGGGAATGTGTGCCTGTGTTGCTGGTTAGAATCAGACATTGAAACAGACTTGGACTCTCTGAAGTGGCCATTACTGCTTCCTGGCTAATTTTCATACTTTGGGCTTTAGGAGGTTCATAAACCCCTCACAGGCTGTTTAAAATGTTACGTGCATGTGCATTTTAAGAACCAGTGATTAGAAGAAAGTATTTCTCTAACCTAGGGAATCCTCAAAAGAGGGATTATCTAAGTAGAGTGAGTTTGAAATGAAATGAGATGTTTATCTCAGGACTGAAGAAAAAACATAGGTAATGCAATAGCTTATGGTAAACGTGAGCTAGAAAATCAAAACTAAGAATACTCCCATCTAATTTCAAGTCTCAGCAGATTCTTTTTACCACAAACATTACGTGAAGTCAAGAGACCAGTGGTTACAAATCTGATCAAAGCCTCGAGCTCTGTCTTCACCATCAGTTGTGGACATTTTTCTGGCTTATCTAAATGAGGTAGAGGTGAGGTATGGATGCCTGTCGTGGAAACTGCTGAGGAAAAATGTCTCACTTCACCAGTGACAAAATACCCGTAACTTGAATGAGCTCTTCATGATCTGAGGGTATTTTGTGCTTCAAGAGCTACTCAGCATCCGCTGTGCAGCAGCCGTTCACCCATGCTTACCTGTCTTTCCCCCAGCCTGATAACAGCCAGCAGATTTAGGATTTCTTAAAAAACTGGAATAAGCAAAAACAAAAAAGTATATTCTCTGCTAGCTTATCCCCATGATGAATGTACTCTGGTTTTGCATGAGTCTGAGTCCAAATATTCATGTACTTAAATATATATATAGTTAAGAGGACTGGGATATGGTCTGTTTTAAACTATGTGTGGGTAGAGGCAGAGGCAGAGGGAGAAGCAGGCTCCCTGGTGAGCAGGGAGCCCGATGTGGGGCTCGATCCCAGGACCCTGGGACCGTGACGTGAGCCAGAGGCAGACGCTTCCCTGACTGAGCCACCCAGGCGCCCCCTACATATTTAAGTATAATGTTTAAAACTCTTTCTCTCTCCAGTGCCATGGTTTTTTAAGGTATTAAGTGAACATTTTCTCAGCAGAACAGTTTAAAGTCAGGAAGAGTGGGAAGAATTTCATATGTGAGTGCCTGCTGTACGCCCTGCATTTCCGTATGTGCCCATCAGGCCTACAAGGAGGTGGTGGTGACCTCATTTTTACTGAGGAATGAACTGTGACTGGAGGAGGGTAGGTTCACATTTTTAGGAAGTGGCAGGCGCTCACATCTGACTGAGGTTTTATGTTAGGTCACGTGGCTCCGAGGAACAGGGAAGGACCAGGTGACTGGGGGAGCGCAGCCGTCTTCTGTGGACACATTTATTTTTTTATTTATTTATTTATTTTTAATTTTTTTTTTTTAAAGATTTTATTTATTTATTTGAGAGAGAGAATGAGAGATAGAAAGCACGAGAAGGAAGAGGGTCAGAGGGAGAAGCAGACTCCCTGCTGAGCAGGGAGCCCGATGTGGGACTCGATCCCGGGACTCCAGGATCATGACCTGAGCCGAAGGCAGTCGCTTAACCAACTGAGCCACCCAGGCGCCCCTGTGGACACATTTAAAAGAAAATTGAACTTGGCAGTGTATAAGGACAGCTGGAAAATTATTTTCATGTTCTTTGGCTTACTAATTCCATTTCTAGGAATTTATGGTAAGGGAATAATGATGGAGTCACACAGAGGTCCTCATAAAGGCAAGGTTTGTCATAGAAAAAAGTGGAGACAACCTCATTGTTACTAGGGAGATCTAATTAAATCGCAGGATATCTGTGCAGTGAAATGCCTTTCAGACATTTAAAATCATGCTGTAGGAGAGTATTAATGGGGGTGCATGTATGTATGTATATCACTAGACTCCATTCTTATAATATGTATGTATTCATAAAGAAAAGACTGGAAGTGGATATATTTGGGTGGGATTGCAAGTAAGGTTTTCTTCCTTTTTTCAAAATATTCACAGTTACTATTTATGATTTTTTTTTTAATCAAAACCGTTATTTTTGAGGGAATGTAAACTGGGACTAGCCAGTTGTATAAGATAAGAATGTTGCCTTAGTGTGGCTTTGAAACTATGCCTTTTAAGCCTTTTACATAAGGTGTGTTAAATGTTACTGTGTTGGCCTAGGTGCTGCGTCTGGCACTGCTGAGCTGCTCCCTTCCCCGAGCGGGTCCTCGAACTGGACTGTGGGCCTCCCCACTGACAATGGCCATGACAGTGACCAGGTCTTCGAGTTCAATGGCACACAAGCAGTGAGGATCCCAGATGGCATTGTCTCGGTCAACCCGAAAGAGCCTTTTACCATTTCTGTGTGGATGAGGCACGGCCCTTTTGGCAGGAAGGAGACGATTCTCTGTAGTTCAGACAAAACAGGTAGGTTAACTTGCCGTCCTGGCACCCGTCATACTCGAGTGGGCCCCGAAGTGGTTGCTGGAAGCGGAGCACCTGACTTCCCCCAGGGGCTCCCACAGGCTGGTTGGCGACACACAGCGTTCTGTGCTCTGGGCCAAGGTGCTCTGTCCTCAAGATACTGCACTGGTATTTGGTTGTTAGTTTTACTCAGTGAATTGGGCTCCACGTCTCAGTGAAACCCAGGTGTGTTTGTTTCTAAATTCTGCCTTGGCCCAACTGGAGAGTTCACTTATGCTGATAAAACCATGTCTTCAAAATCTATTAAGGAGATCGCCTTTACTTCTCCTTTGGGTCTTAAGTTGGCAGTTGACCAGTAGGATTTCTTTCTGCAGACATGAACCGACACCATTATTCACTCTATGTCCACGGCTGCCGGCTTATTTTCCTCCTCCGCCAGGATCCTTTGGAAGAGAAGAAGTACAAACCTGCAGAATTCCACTGGAAGTTGAATCAGGTACGTGCCTGGAAAACTCGCTCATTCTGATCTTTCAGAGGCTCTAACTAGGTGCTGCAACTTTACACAGGACCAGCTACTTCTGGGCAGTTTATGGGCACTGTATATTTATATTTATGAATAAATATAAAAATATAAAAAACTTTTTGCAATCTACGTAGACATTTTAGGCACAGTTATATTATAGTAACCATAGTAACCATGTTTGGTTTCTTTTGATGATACTTCAAAAAAACTTTATTACCTATGGGTGATAGGATAGCAAATTTAAATCCTTTGAACTCCTTTCCACTGAAAGCCTAAGTTTTTCATTTTATAAGTGTGTATTTTATATATCCAGTATTAATATAAAGAAATTATAGGCTTTAAATTAAAAATACTGTGTTGTAATTTATTGAAATAAGCAGCGCTTGCTTAAAAATTGGGCTTGAGGTCCTTGTATTGGTTTATTCATTACTTAAAGCCTTGGCTCCTAAACTGTGCCCAGGGGCCCCTGGGGGCCTCAGCAAATTTGGGGGTGCCACGGGATATTTTAAATTGTCACAGGGCCAGCAATCTCGACATCTTTCAGAACCCACACAAGCTACTAGCTGGAGGGAGTTTACAGTTTCAACATGAGGTCACGTTATATCCCTTTTGATGATAGCCTATCTCTGCAAAGCTGCTTTCCCAATAGTTTTTGTGATGAAAAGCAAGTATCACGTGAGAAAAACCGATGTGTTACAGGAAACAAGGGGACGCAGTGAATTGAGTCCCCTCCATTAAAATCACAGTGGATCATTTCTCCTCTTAATTTCTGGTTGGGTTAAGGCAGAAACCCGTGGCCTGAGCTTAGTTCTGTCTCATGGAGTTGGTGGGCCACGGCTGACAAGTATGTGCCCATAGTTGCTGGAATACAGCGTCTTCCGTGACACGTACAAGATAGACGGATGTGTGCGAGCATAAACGGGAGAGGAAGGCCGTGTGTGGTAGTGTGTGGTAGTGTGTGGTAGTGTGTGGTAGTGTGTGGTAGTGCAAAGACGAAAGACGAAGTGATGGTCCAGCTGGTAGCATCCATTTCTCACTGTGTCATTTTCATTTATGTAGAGACTCGGTCTCAGAAACTTTTATACATATAGTTTTTCAAGAAACTAAAGAAACGTACAGTCCAGAAAAAGCTTTTTGCAGTGTACATAGAGCTCATAGGCACAGTTCTGTTATAATAACCATAGTCTATATTTACGTGTTTAGTTTCTTCTGATAACATTTTAAAAAAAAGCCTCATTATGGGAAATTTCAGAGATACGTAAAAGCAGAGAGATTAGTGTAAAGAACAACCCCACGTATCCTTCATCTAGCTTCAACAGTTAACACTCTGCCAGTCAGGTTTCATTATTAATGATTGTCGTTAGCTCTTCGAGGTAAATCCCAGATGTGGCATTTCGTTCTCTGTGGAGATAATGCAATATGTGTCTCTAAAAGATAAGCATAATCGTAATACTTTTTCACGTCTTAAAAAAATTAACAGGGTGCCTGAATGGCTCAATCAGGTAAGCATCCAACTCTTGATTTCAAGTCAGGTCATGATCTCAGGGTCATGAGATCAAGCCCTGCATCAGGCTCCACGCTCAGCATGGAGTCTGCTTGAGATTCTCTCCCTCTGCTTGTGCGCATGTGCACGCTCTCTCTCACTCTCAAAAAAAATGAACAATTCCTTAATATCGTCAGATATCTAGCCAGTGCTCAAGTTTCAGATTGTCTCGTAAATTTTTTTTTTTTTTAATTTATTTGAGAGACAGAGCACGAGTTGGGGGGAGGAGGAGAGGGAGGAGGAGAAGCACACTCCCCGTCGAGCAGGGCGCCTGACGTGGGGCTCCACCCCAGGACCCCGAGATCATACCCTGAGCTGAAGGGAGACGTCCAACTGACTGAACCACCCAGGCCCCTGTCTCATAAATATTTCTATGTTTATAATCTGTTTGAATCAGGATCCAAATAAGGGGCCATACATGGTGACTGGTTGAGTTTATTTTATGATCTGTAGATTTTTCTCTTTTCTCCTGTAATTTATTTGATGACAAAATCAGGCCGTTTGTCCCACAGAGTTTCCCATGGTGTAGATTTGGCTGGTTGCATCCCTGTGGGGCCATATATTCCGTTCTCTTCCTTGCAGCCTGTAAATCAGTAATGTGGCCTTGAGGCTTGATTGGGCTTGGGTTTGCATGTTCCTGGTCCCTTTAGGCTCTCTGTCTGGTTGTTTCTGTTTCTGTGATGTAAGGAGCCATTCGTGCTCACTCTGTCTCCATCATCTGTGTTGTGGGGCGTGTGTCCCCAGGAGGGATTCATGGGAACAGCCTGAGTTCCTCCGTGTTTAATAGCGTGTCTGTGGCCTTTACACAGAAGGTCAGTTTGGCTGGATATAAAATCTCTGACTCCCATTTAGGATTTACGAGAACAGAAGATCTCTCTGTCTGTTGTCTTCTGACATAAGATGCTGCTGGTCGTCTGATGGCCATCTGGTCTTCTTTCCCTTGTAAAACACTTGGTCCTTTCGCTTGGGTGACCAAAGGATTCTTTTCTTTTTTGAAACCAGTTAATTTTATGCCTACATCGTGATTGTTTTGAGTCTGTTTTTACAGATATGTGGTATGCCCTTTTTTAGTATATAGTTGAAAGCCGTTTGGTATTTCAGGCAAGTTTTTGATGTTGTTAACAGTTCTTAGCACGCCCCCCTCATCACTTTGTATTTCTTCCCTGGGGACCCTTCGCCTTTGGTTGGTATTCCTTACCTGTTTTCTGTACTTTCTATCCGAGTCATTTCTGTTTTGTCACTTTTGTAAGAGTTGCTGTAGTCAGGGGCGATATTTTTTTTTTTTTTTTAAAGATTTTTTTTTTTTAAAGATTTTATTTATCTACTTGACACAGAGAGAGAGATAGCGAGAGCAGGAACACAAGCAGGGGGAGTGGGAGAGGGAGAAGCAGGCTTCCCGCTGAGCAGGGAGCCTGATGCGGGGCTCGATCCCAGGACCTCGGGATCGTGACCTTGAGCCGAAGGCAGACGCTTAACGACTGAGCCACCCAGGCGCCCCTAAAGATTTTTTTTTTTTAAAAAGATTATTTGAGGGAGCGAGAATGAGAGAGAGAGAGTACATGAGCGGGGGAGGGTCAGAGGGAGAAGCAGGCTCCTTGCTGAGCAGGGAGCCCGATGCGGGACTCGATCCCGGGACTCCAGGACCATGACCTGAGCTGAAGGCAGTCGCTTAACCAACTGAGCCACCCAGGTGCCCCGATTTTCTTTAAAGATTTTATTTATTTATTTGACAGAGAGAGACACAGAGAGGGAACGCAAGCAGGGGGAGTGGGAGAGGGAGAAGCAGGCCTCCTGCCAAGCAGGGAGCCCGATGCGGGGCTCGATCCCAGGACCCTGGGATCATGACCTGAGCCGAAGGCAGACGCTTAATGACTGAGCCACCCAGGTGCCCCCAGGAGCTACGTTCTTTCGTGTTTTGTGTCACTTTCCTGATGTTTCTAGTGTGTTTTGAGACAATACGTGATCATTTTCATGTTTGTTGCCGGCGTGTCTTGAAAGGGGGTCTGGAGGGATATTATTCCAGCAATTCTCTTTCTTTCTCTTAAAAAGTTCATATGGGATTGAGCTGTGGTCCTTTCTCCCCTCCTCATTTTTATTATAAAATTCCTTTTCCTGTACTTTCAAAGGGGGGAGTTGGGTAGCATGACCCTTTTCCTAGTTTCTGGGCCCTGCCTCCCCCTTCTGTTGTCATAAAGCATCTCAACAAGTAGATACAGTCTCGCCGTCCTCTGATATCCCCCGGACCTGGAGCCCCGTTGCTTTTCTCCACCTATGCGCATCTCAGGGTGCACCCGGGCACCGAACTAAGGAGTATCATGGGTGTTATCTGTGGCTTTGGGCTTTGCTATTCTGCTCACCCAGTTTTCAGGGAAATCCGAAAATTATGCCAGTTCTAGCCCTGTCTTCCCAGAATACTGTCATGGACTTCTGACTAGAGTCAAGTGGATTTTCAGTTACAGTGTCATTCTGCTGATGCCCCAGAAACTAGGGGGACAACAAATTGCTTTCTGAAGGAGCTAATACTACAGAACTTGTTTTAAATAGAGACAGGCTGAAATTAAGATATTACCTGCCTCAAAAGTGAATTGCTGTGCAGTTCTTTCATTTAAAAATGTTTCATGTAATCAATATATGTACTGATCTGTTATGCATATGAAATAGACATGTGCACGATGTTAGAGGTTTGAATTTTTTCTGTAATAAACTCATCAGGAGCAGCCGCTTTTTTCTGGGGGGTACTCTTTGGTAATTTCTTCATTTATTGTGATGTTTCTGGTCTGTTGAAGTTCTCATCGGTTCAGTTTTTTAGAACGTGTAAATTAGGCAAGCTTATTTAGAAACACTTTTTAAAAACTTCTTTAGCCCACTCCGTCTCTTTTTCTGCCTGTCTCTGTTCTTGAGTGCCTGCCTCTTCCTCTGAAGCCAACGACGAGGGAGTGCTGGACTGAAGGGGCCTTGGAGGCTGCTGACCAGTGCTTTCCCTCAGCTGCGAGAGAGATGCTCATTCACGATGGGGAAGGAATGTGGTTTAATTTATCATGCCCTCTGAGTTGTATGCTCAGTTTACTTAGAGCATCACCTTTGAATTGAAAAAGAAGATACATGTGCTCCAGCATGCCTTATCTTGAGATGGGAGGTATTTTTCATTTTGATCCAGAAGAGGAGGCATGGCCAATAGGCAGGCTAAGCCGGCTCAGTGGGAGGCTGTCCAGCCTGCCGATACCAGAATCTCCTGGTGTCAGACTATTGGCAGAAGAGGATTGGGCAGTTCTGTATTCTGAGGCCCTGTCGCGTGATGAGTGAGCACTGCCGCCTGGTCTGGAACGCCCTAGAGGTGGTAGTGTTGCTTTGGCCCTTTGGGGTGAGACGTGGTTGAGTGAGTAAGATGTATTTTGTTGTTAGGTTTTTAAAAAATGTCGTTTCCTTTTTCAGAAGACATTATTCCTTATGGGTGGCTTGCTCTCTGTATCCAGTTGTATGGCTTTCGTTGTTTCTGGATGAGAGGGAAGGTAGATGTTTCATGCTCTGGTTTTTCCACTGGCCTCTCGTAGGTCTGTGATGAGGAGTGGCATCACTACGTCCTCAACGTGGAATTCCCAAGCGTGACTCTCTATGTGGACGGAGTTTCTCATGAGCCCTTCTCTGTGACCGAAGATTACCCGCTTCATCCATCCAAGATCAAAACTCAGCTCGTGGTTGGGGCCTGCTGGCAAGGTAACGGTCCTCGGCACCCTCTCCCCGGTCTTGGGGAGGTAACGGTCCTCGGCGCCCTCTCCCC